AGGTGGAAGATTGGACTGATGGTTCAGAAGAGAGGTCAAAGTTAGCTTGCGGCGGAAGGGACGAGGGAGAGGCGGACGGAGAGACGATGGCTGGTGCAGTCCGAGTGTTGCAGTTGGTCCAAAGGTGTTTAACAAGTTCACTTCGTGCCCGGAATGTCCGTTGACACCGTGGACAGGTTGAAGGCGGTTGTGCGTTGGCGTTACGAAGTGGGTGCAGCTTCTCGTTTGGCTTTTGCGACGGCAACGCAGTTTGCCTCATAGATCTCCCGCCTGTCTTCACTGTCCTCCACCAGGTCGGTCGGTTTCGAGCGATGCCTTCCCTGTTGGATGGGCGGATCTACAGACGCTTCAGGGAGATCTTTGAAGTGTCCTTGTAACGACGGACTTGGTCTCCTCGGCGGCAGAAACCCGTGTCGACGTCTCCAGAGAAAAGTCGGTTGGGTAGCCGCTCGTCGTCCATCCGCACGTGATGGCCGCTCCAACGCAGTTGCAGTTGTCTCCACGTGGCGTTGATGCTGAGAATTCCCGTTCTTTCGAGCACGTCAATATCGGGGATACGGTCCTGCCATCGCAGCTTCAGTATCCGACGGAGACAGCTGAGGTGGGAGTGGTTGAGTCGGCGTGCCAATTTCTTGTACACCGTCCAGGTATCCGCCCCATACAGCAGTGTCGATAGGAGAACTGCCTTGTACATCTTAAACTTAGGATTGAGACGGGGACCGTGACGGTTCCAGACGGTGTTCTGCAGACGGCCGATTACTTGACTGGCTTTGGAAATGTCGTCGATTTTGGTGCTGTGGGATAGGGTGCTGCCCAGATACGTGAGGTTATCCACCGCTTGCAGTTGGGTTCCGCTAACGGTGATATGCGGTACACTTTGGGCTGTGCTGAGTGGCGGTTAGTGCAGCAGTCTTCCCCGTGCTGATGGTCGGACAGAATGTTTTGCAGGCGGCGGAGAGGCGATCCATGCTCCTTTTCATGTTCTCTTCCTGGGTAGGGTTGAGGGCGCAGTCGTCGGGGGAGAGACGTCCGTGGACGGTGTTTGGGCGTACACGCGACTGGAAATGCATCCGCCTGTGGTTGAGGAGGTGGCCGTCCATCCTGTAGGCGATGCACATCCCGGGGTGCTCATCACGGTAGGCGTCCATCAGCATGGCAGAGAACATAAGACTGAATAGAATAGGCGCCAGCACGCATCCCTGCCTCACACCGTTGGTCACTGCGAACGCCTCTGAGACACATCCATTGTCCGCAAATCGCGCCAGCATACCATCGCATAGGTGGCGCACCATCTGAATGGATCGCTCGGGACAGCCGAATTTTATGCATGATCTTCCACAGTCCTTCACGATTCACCGTGTCGAAGGCTTTCGTCAGGTCCACGAAGGTAGAGTATAGGTGCGTCCGCACCTCCTGACACTTCTCCTGTAATTGGCGAAGGACGAAGGTCATGTCCGTGATTTCGCGATGACGACGGAAGCCGCACTGGCTTTCCGGCAGAAGACCTCCCTCCAGGTGATTATTCAGGCGGTTGAGGATGATGCGAGCGAAGATCTTCCCGGCAATGTTCAGAAAGGAGATGCCTTGATGGTTGCCGCAGAGCTGGCGGTTTCATTTTCGCTTGTATAGATGTACGATGGTTGTGTCTTTGAAATCTTGCAGGAACTCACCTTGACGCCACACCACCTGGGAGAACGCAGTCAGGTGATCCATGATTTGGAAGCGACCGTGCTTGTAGACCTCAGCAGGGATCGTGCCCGATCCGGGTGCTTTCCAGCTGGAGAGCTGCTGCACGGACCTGATGGTTTCCTGGAGAGAGGGCGGGATGTCGAGATCCACGTTGGTCTCCACTTGCGGCAAACGGGCGATGGCGGTGTCGGAGATGATGGAGGGGCGGTTGACGACGCCTCGGAGGTGCTTCACCCAACGATGTAGGATTTGTGTGTTCTCAGTCAGGAGGGTGCTACCGTCGGCGCTGAGGAGAGGAGCAGTGCCTTTCATCGGCGGACCGTAGACAGCTTTGATGGCAGAGAAGAAGTTCTTCCATTCGTTACGCTCCGAGTACCCTTGGATCTCCTCAGCTTTGCGAGCAGTCCAGGCGTCCTGCATCTCACTTAACTGCTGTTGCAAAAGGTGGCGTCTAAAGTAGAAATCCGCTTTGTTGTCGTCGCTGGGGCGGTCGGTCTAGGCGACCGTTGATGGCTTGTGGCAGACAGGGCAGTCGTTCCAAGATGTCATTCCGGATGGCAAGGGCGATGTCCGCGTCCCCTCGTTCTGCCTTTGGGTGACCGCTCCAGAAGATGTAGCCGGCACTTACCTCCTCCAATTGGCCAAATAATCTGATCTCGCTGAACGCAGCGATGTCCACCTTGTAGCACGCCAGTTTTCGAGCCACTAGCGATGTTTAAAAAAGAACGCATATTGCAGGCTGCTGGATTTGGCTGATTCAACCTACCAGTCTGGCGAGTGCGGCGGCGGGAATGAGGAAAAGGAGGAGGAGGAGGAGGAGGAGGAGACTGTGTTGTTTCGATTTTGCGTTTTTCGACCGTGAGTTAGACGTCTGCGACCACGGTCAGCCTGTAGACGGCGTGGTTCACCAGCATTTCTTCAGGGCTTTTCAGATGTACAAAAGACAAACATGCGATCACTGGAACAATAAATTTATTGGCCTGACGTTTCGGATTCTTACTCGAATCCATCATCAGAGACATTCGCAGATAAAGGTGATGGTGGCACCAGGAGTACAGTAGTTATAGCACGTGGCTGCCGTGGAACCATATGCGCACTGTAATTAACAGCTCTCTCAGTCACCGCTGGGGTCATAATTGATGCGATGGTGGCTTGACAGTCCGCGTCCGAGTAGTTAATGGCCGCGATTTCGTCATCCTTGCTCGATTCTGGTATGACGATTGCTCGGCAAACTGGCCCACTGTCGCTGGGATAATTTCCCGCCCGCGCCCTCCCCACTTGACTGATTCTCCTGCCCAGGGAAAATCTCGGCACGGAATATGGTACCGGGAGGTCATTGCGCTTTTTGATGGATTGGGGGCCTGAGAACCATGACTCGAGTAGCTCGCGGCTCACACGGTTGTCACCCATTGCGAGGATATCGGCCTCTTGAAATTTGAAAATATGGCCGGGTCCCGTCGAGTGTGCCGCCACCTGAGAGTTAGTGTCTCACTGCTGCTGCTGCGTGCTCGGCAATTCGCGTACGGAGTAATCTCCCAGTTTCTCCGACGTATTTGCTTTGTCCGCAACTACACCAGATCCGGTAAACGTCTCCAGACGTTTCCAGCCGTGGCAGCGGGTCTTTTGGCCTCATGACTCGGCGCCTAATGTTTGCTTTCAGTCTGCGTGCAACGCCAAATTCAAGTGGAGTGAGAAGACGACTGACGGCTTCCGAGACATTCTTCACGTACGGAGGAGCACACCAAAATTTGGGGCCGATTGGATTTGGTCTCTGGTGTCCTTTTCGTATGCACTGGTTGACAAAGTTGCACGGGTAACCATTGGCTCTCATGACCCGTCGAAGATATTGTAATTCAGCAACCTTGTCTTCCATTTCACTGCAGTGCGTCTCAACGCGCCGGTATAGCGCCCTTACGCGACTGCGTTTGCGACTGATCGGGGGTTGCTATTGAAGTTCGGTATTTGCGTCGTATTTGTCGCTTTCCTGGGCACTTTGGATTTTAGGCCATCACAATCTTTGCAGGAGACGAAGGCATCCAGGAAGGCCAGCTGGTTGTTTTCCTCCT